ATCTTATCTTATCTTATCTTATTACACTGCGGTACTTTCCTGTTTCATTTTGTCGCGGGTCAGGACTGTTTGGGTTTTGTTTGACAGCTACGTTCTGTTGTTACAGGCGGCAGCGTTACGGTTGCAATGGTTACAGGGCGACGCTCTCTCTCTCTGCGACTGTGTGTTTCCTGGGTGAGAGAGCGCCTTTTCGTTGTTGTTGTTGTTGTGCTAAGCTAACAGGCAGAATACTACAAGCATAACTCTAAAGAATGTAGCATCATGGGCAGTGTAGGCCCCCGGGAGAATCAGTGGGGGCGCGGGAGATGCCATCGGTGAGTCTGGAACTTTTGCCTGGATGCCAAAGCTCCTAGTATCCAGGAGAATGCGATTCACTTCTTCTGCAAGTGAGTGGTAATCCTTCGCGGCCAGCAGCGGGGAGTTGGCAAGGCCAGCTCGCACCGGCAACTGTTGTAGGAAGACGTGAGTGAAGAGGAATCCACCGTCATCCGTTCCTAGCAAGGACGACGTGCTCTCCGTGACCTCGAGTCCAGTACCATCACCCAGTGTCGTTGGCCAAAATGCCACGAAGAGCAAACTGAGTTTCGACGTGCACAAACCATGAAGGAGGGTCATGAAGCCAAAAATCCGGCAGCTTAACCGCCACAGCAAAAATTAAAACGTACAGTACAGCTCTGCTATCACTTCCGGCACAAATGAAGACAGAAAACTAAACAGCAGTGGCGTTTGTAGGGTTACTGAAGTTTGGCTAGCTGGTATATAATGATGTGCTGCGTAGTGGCTAGCTACACAACTGTGGTTATGGCATAATATAAACACAGTGAAGCTGGAGGATGACTACTAACTTTTTTTCCACTCAGTGAGGGTTCCCGATGGTTAGGAACAAATGTAATTGCATGGCAGGGTGCTGTTAACAGACCAAACTTCAGTCAGGAGAACAACTGCAATATAAGTTTAGTCATTAATATACTGCTGCATGGGCTGGGCTGTAGTTACATTGTAACGTTTTGAAAACTGAGCTTTAAAAGGAATAGTGAAGATAAAAACCGAGAGAGCCCAGCAGTGATCACTGACTTTTTTAGGGGCTTGTTCAGATTAAATAGAACAAAATATAAAGCATTAAAACATGGTAAAAACACAACAGCCATAATAAATGTAGCGTAGTTTGGACCGGGAAGCAGGTTTCATCAGGTCATCACTTAAAGATTGGATATCCCACCTTTTGTGAATGTTTTATTTATTTATTTATTTATTTTTATTTTTTTTGTGTCCCGTTTGGATCTTTAGCCATCAGAATTGTTGTCTTAAGGCCAAGAAAGATGCCAAGCGGATTTATTTTACCAAGTTGATCATCATGGCCTTGCCATATTGGTCCATTTGATTGACCTTTATTATAATTATGAATTTATTTTATTTTCAGTTGCTACAAATGGGACAGACATGACTGGGGGATAGGACAGGGAGAAAGAATGAAAGAAAGAGAGGGAGGGAGAGAAAGAAAACCAAAGGGGAGAAGAGACGGTGAGAAGGGGGGGGAAGAAAGAAAGAAAAAAAGAAAAACAAACAAAGCACCTGGATCACCTGTATGGAGAAAAAAACAGAAGAGAAAGTAAACAACACAAGAGCAACATAATAAAAAAGCAGCACCATCACAATAAACTAGCTAGCAGTAGATAACAGTAGATACTAAATAATAAACGATATTGTACAGCACGCAAGATAGACAGCGCGCAATGTGCTTTGAGGCAGCAGCCAAGAAAGGTGTAGTCCGCGTCTGTGAACACCCGTGTGTACACCTGTGTGCACACCTGTGTGGATCAGCATGCTTGTATTCCAAAGGTTTCTCCATGTAACAATCTGCTAGGGAGTGGGGGGAGCCATAGCCCCGTCCACCAGGGTATGAAGCAGGTATGGAGGAGATCCAGGCCCCAGATATCCAGAGGCCCCAGAGTACAAGGACCCGAGGAGGACCACCAAAGGGGGGGGGGAACCGTGCCACCCTCCTGGGAAGAGCTGAGTAGAGCCCCAAAGGAGAGGTCACCCCGCAGCTACGGAGCAGAGGCCAGAGGGGGTTGCAGTGGCGTGCCCGCGGGCTCTGCCGGCAGCCAGCTGTGCCAGAGAGGACCGAGCTTCAGGCCCAGAGGCCTGAGGGCATCCCATCCCCCGGAAGGAGACCAGCCGGGCCACAGGCGCCCGGCCCCGCCAATCGGCCACCAGGAGTGAGCCAGTACATACATGAGCGCCCAGCCCCAGACGACAAGGACCACCAACACACCAACGTCTGAGGGCATCAGCCACCGGCAGGGAGTGTGGTGAGGGGAGATAGGCCTCCGTACTTTAGAGGGCCTGAGATGTACCCAGAAAGGTTGTGAATGTTTTAATGCAGTACAGTTGTTATTATTATCACTTGTAAAATCCTCTTTATGTCAGTTAAAATAAATAACATTCATATAAGAAATAGAATTGCCTCGTGTAAACTGTATGTGGTGTTAAATAGGCCTTTATTACTGTACATTAATGTCAGTCATAAGGGTGGTACTGGAAGAGCCATATATTTTATGAGGCGGTACTCATTGTGAAAAGTTTGAGAACCACTGCTTTAATATATATAAATCGCTTTTGGGTAATCTCAGTCTCTTACTGAACGTGCTCCTGTCTCAGAAAATAGAGACGACTCTGGCCCGTCCTGTATAGTGCAGTGGTGTTTTTAATCCAGTCCAGTTTATTGTGTTTATCTATGTGTACTCCGAGGTATTTATAGTGATGTCCACATCAACCATCTGGATTGACACAGGGGACAAGGCCCAGTACTCAGTCTCATGACCCCCACTGATGCATCCTGAAAGACAAAACAGATGGAGGTTCACAAACAAATATACAAATTGCCTATGTCTGAGGCAAGCCACAGCCCTAGCCCACCCAAACTATCTTAACTGCTCCCTCTTCTGAGTTCATGCTTGTGGGAGGAAGCCGGAGTACCCACGCAAACATGGGGAGAACATGCAAACTCCAGGCTACATTTTGGGAGTTTGCTGCTGCTGATGGTTCAATGAAAATGACAAAAAGTGAGGGGAAAAGTGGGCAGCCTTGTCTGGTGCCTTTCTTTGGATTGAAGCTTTGGGATGTTACATAATTTGTCCTAACAGATGCATCCGGAGAGCTGTACAGTATTTTGACTCAATTTATGAAGAATGAGCCAAATCCAAATTTGCTTTAAACTGCTAAAAAAATTTCCAATTTACCCAGTCAAATTCTCTGCGTCTAAAGAGACAACTTTCGAATTTGTAGTTGGAGCGATAATCTATTACATTACATCTATTACATTAATTAGTCTGCTTTTAGTGACCTCCAATTGACGTAACCGGGTGTCATTACTGCCTACTTGAATTATAATTTTACTGAATTTATGTTTACCCTTAGCCAGCAGATTTAAATTTCCCTCAGTGTCGCCTGCTCTGGCACCTGGAAGACAATTAACTATGGTTGGTGGTGTCTCTAGCTTCACATGTCTAAGAACAGACAGGAGTGTTGCCAAGTGGGGAAAATCAGTTAAACACATGAACAGGTTGGTGGTGTACCATGGGCTTCTGTTTAGGACTGCGCTTCCTCCTCACCGTCACCCAGCCATCCTGTTTTCCCAGCTACTGGGGACAATCTGCTGGGAGACAGCTGGCAGGAGCCACGCTACCTTCGGCTGCACTGGCTACAGGGGCCTGGCTAAGCTACAGGTTTTTCAAGGGTGCGAATTTGAGTCTTCAATTTATTGATCCTGACCTCCAGAGCTGCAAATAGGCTACATTTATTACAAGCATCATTAGTGCTAAAGAAGACCGAGATGTAACTCCCCTCCCTACCGCTCCCTGCAGGCCATTGCTGCCTCCCCCTGGAAGTGGGTACTTGGTGATTCTTGGGGCTGCTCACGGTGGCTTGGGAGATGGCCTGCTGGGGCCCCTGTTCTTAGTTTTTGCCAGGATTGGCAAGCTTCTGACATGGTCAGCTGCCAAGAGGCCATTCATGTGAAAAGAGAAAGACCATCTCTAAATCAAGGAGGGGGCCTAAGTGTACCTCTTTCACTATCATACAATGCTGTGAGCTATTCCCCAACTCTTTGTAAATAGTACTCATGGTCATTGATCAATGGTCATGACAATTTGCATATTAACAATCATGAAACTGACCTCATGACCCATTGTTAATCAGTGGTGCTAGGTTTGGTTATTATGCGAATGTACTGTTTATAAGGCTGAGGAAACCTGCAGTCAGCTGAGATTGAAAAAATCACTTAAAAGAGTGATGAAACATTTCTCCTACTTATTTCTCCTATGTCCAGGTGAACAGAGTCAGCTTTCTGTGATTTCCTTACCTGGGTGATTGAGCATGCATCAAGACATTTTTTGATGTTTTTCAGGAAATAAGACCAGTTTAAATTGTTCATCTCCTCAAGTTTTTACTAACAGTTACTTTGGTTGATTACTGCTGATTGCTGCTCATTTGAGCAAAGCACATATGCCTCCGTACTTTAGAGGGCCTGAGATGTACCCAGAGAGGTTTTGAATGTTTTAATGCAGTACAGTTGTTATTATTATCACTTGTAAAATCCTCTTTATGTCAGTTAAAATAAATAACATTCATATAAGAAATAAAATTGCCTCGTGTAAACTGTATGTCATGCACCATGTCTGCTTAGTCTGCTAGTCATGCGTGCATCATGCACGCACACATGATGCCATTATATTTGGAGATAATTTAAGGGAAAAATTGTGTGCTTAAGATTCAACTCAAAAACCACTAATATGCAGCTTTCAAAAATTCTGTTGTGGAGGGTGGTGTGTTTCAAAAAACAATTTTGAACTGACAAGCTTTAGTTTAGTTGCAAAATCTTTAATTCTGAGTTATATAACTCTGAAGACGTCATTAAGATGAACAGTTTATATCTATAATTTTAAAGTGTGTTCTTTCTTTCTTTCCTTTTTCTCTTTTTAATGTCCCTCATGTTCCAGATTCACATTACTGTTATGGACAGCAATGACAACGCTCCCATCTTCTTCCAACCAACTTATGATGTCGTTGTTTCTGAAGATACACCACCTGACACTGAAGTGGTCCAGGTTCAGGCATCTGACCGTGATAAGCATCAACAGTTGACCTACTCTCTGCAGAGTTCCATAGACCCAAACACCATGGGTCTGTTCCGCATTCATCCCACCCAGGGCACTATCTACACTACTCAGAGGCTTGACCATGAGGCCTGTTCACGACACATTCTCACTGTGACTGTAAGATATACTTTAATCTATGAGTTATTTTTGGTCTAAAAGTCTGTATCATAGAATTGTATTCATCATACAGATAGTTTTCCTGTTTTAATTATGCAAGCACACAGTAATCCTCTGTTTGGGCTGGACTACCTTTTGGTGACATCAGCAGACTAATTACATGGTTTACAAATTACACCATTCAGTAAACCAGTATCCACATCTCACTGCATCATTAGAAGTTACATATCTAATTTTTAAACTACTACATAACACGGGAGAAATATGTGTGGTTAAGGAAAGTGAGGGAGTAACAGTTCTAGTCTAATGGCTTGTTTTTGTAGACATTATTTTGACCTTATCATATATCTTCATCCTATATATATCATTAAAGAAAATATTTAGGTTTGTTTAATCATTTTCTCCACAGGTAAAGGATCAAGAATTCCCATACAGAAAAGATTTGGTCCGTGTACTAATAGAAGTGGAAGATGTAAATGACCACGTACCAATTTTTACCAGTGCTCTGTATGAAGGCTCAGTATATGAGTCAGCAGCAGTGGGATCAGCTGTAGTCCAGGTAACTGCCCTAGACAAAGATAAAGGCGAGAATGCAGAGCTACACTACTCTATTGAAGCAGGTAAGCTATGGCAACTGAGTACTTGCTCCTACATATGTACATGGTTGGAACGTTAATTTGATATTTTGACTATTATTGGGTTTTTTGTTTTTTGTTTGTTTTTTTTCTCTTCAACAGGCAACAGTGGAAATACATTCCAAGTTGAGCCAGTTTTGGGTGTCATCACTGTTGCGCATGAGCTGGACCTATCCAGCATAGGCCATTATATTCTCACTGTCAGAGTAATTGACAGTGGCTCCCCCCCACTTTCCACTACCACAATAGTGCGGATTGCTGTCACTCTATCTGATAATGCTGGTCCAAAGTTCCCTCAACCTGAGTATCAGACTGAAATCATGGAGAATGCATTGGTTGGGACCTCTGTCAGTACAGTCAGTGCTGTCAGCCAGTCCACCCTCAATTATGACATCAAGCAGGGCAATACCAATCATGTTTTTCAGATAAATCAGTATAGTGGAGTGATTACTACTCAAAAATCGCTTGACTATGAGACTACAACTTCTTACACACTGATAGTCCAGGCTATTAACATGGCTGGCATGGCCTCCAATGCTACTCTGTTAATCCAGGTAGTGGATGATAATGACAACCCACCAGTGTTCCAGGAGCTTCACTACCATGGGAGTATTAGTGAGGCAGCACCAATTAACAGTGTAGTCTTAAACTTAGATGGTTCACCTCTAGTAATAAAAGCCACTGATGCTGACCGTAACCAAAATGCACTGCTGGTATACCAGATTATTGAAGACACAGCAAAAATGTTCTTCACCGTGGACTCAGGAACTGGCTCCATCAGAACTATTGCTAATTTAGATTATGAAACCTTTACTATCTTTCATTTCCACGTACATGTGAGAGACAACGGAACGCCACAGTTGACAGCAGAAAGTCCAACTGAGGTCACAATACAAGTGATTGACACAAATGATTCCCCACCTCGCTTCACCCAGAGTTCTTATGAAACAGTCCTGTTACTCCCCACTTATGTTGGAGTTGAAGCACTTCAGGTTTCAGCTGCAGACCCTGACAAAAACATCACTACAGAGCTTATATACTCTCTGACTGATGGAGAACTGCAGCACTTTGCCATCAAACCTTCAAGTGGAATTATTGTAGTCAAAAACAACAACTTTTCCAAAGAGCGTTTCCGCTTCAGTGTCAGAGTTTCAGATGGTAAATTCTCTAGCATGGCTTTGGTGACTATAGTTGTCAGAGAAGCTCTAGACTCTGGTCTCAGCTTCACCCACAGTATTTACTCTTCATCTATTAAAGAGAATATATTGAATATCACAAAGGTAGCTGTGGTCAATGCTATTGGAAACCGTCTGAATGAACCACTAAAGTACAACTTGTTGAATGCTGGTACACATTTCAAAATTCGCCCAACATCTGGAGTCATCGAGACCACAGGTATAGCATTTGACCGTGAAGAGCAAGAGTTCTATGAACTGGTGGTTGAGGCAAGAAAGGAGCATGACCCTCTCCATGTGGCTAGAGTCATAGTTAGAGTCCAAGTTGAAGACATAAATGATAATGCCCCTGTGTTTGTTGGACTTCCTTATTATGCAGCTGTTCAAGTAGAAGCTGAACCAGGATCACCCATTTTCAGGGTCATGGCAGTAGATGGTGACAAAGGAATTAATGGGCAAGTATCTTACTATCTCAAAGATGACCATGGTCATTTTGAAATCAACAGGCAGACAGGTAGTCTCAGCCTCAAGAGGTCTTTTGAGTCTGATTTGTCCAATGTGGAATACCGAATGGTGATATATGCCAGAGACAGTGGTTATCCACCCCTTTCATCTACAATAGAGTTTCCCATCACTGTAGTCAACAAAGCCATGCCTGTTTTTGCCAAATCATTTTATACTGTTGCTGTGAATGAGGATGTAGCTGTGCACACACCTATCCTTGGCATCAATGCCTCAAGCCCTGAAGGACAAAGCATCATCTACACAATTGTTGATGGAGATCCATCCCTACAGTTTGACATTGGTTTTGATACCGGAGTCATAAGTGTCATCCATGCTTTGGATTTTGAGGCAACATCATCTTACCACCTGACTGTTAGAGCCACAGACTATCTTACTGGTGCCCATGCTGAGGTTGATGTAGATGTGTTTGTCCAGGATGTCAACGATAATCCACCTATCTTCCAGAAAATGACCTACAGGGTAGTTTTATCTGAAACAGCCATGATTGGAACGCCAGCACTCCAAGTAGTTGCCACAGACAAAGATTCAGAGAAAAACAATGTTGTCCGCTACCAGATCTTCTCGAATTCACGTAATAATACAGAGTACTTTCATATTGACAGTAGCAGTGGATTAATCCTGACAGCTCGTATGCTAGACCATGAACTACTCCAAAAATATGACTTTATTGTCAGGGCAACTGATAATGGTTTTCCACCACTGAGTAGCGAAGTGTCTGTGACAGTCATGTTGAATGACATAAATGACAATCCTCCAGTTTTCAACCAGCTGCTCTATGAGGCATATGTGAATGAGTTGGCAACAAGGGGTCACTTTATAACCTGTGTCCAGGCATCTGATGCAGACAGCTCAGATTTTGACAAATTGGAGTACAGTATTTTATCAGGAAATGAAAAAAGGAATTTTGCAATAGAAAAAAAGACAGGGATAATCACACTGTCCAGCCACCGTAAGCAAAGAATGGAGCCTGCCTATAGTCTCAATGTTTCAGTATCTGATGGGGTGTTCACCAGCACTGCACAGGTTCATGTAAAAGTGTGGAGGGCCAATCTGCATAGTCCAGTGTTTGGACAGAATATGTATGAGGCGGAGCTAAGAGAGAATGCTGCTGTGGGAACCAAAGTTATACAGGTAGGTGCAGTAAGGATTAATTAAATTATACATTAAAAAGAAATAACATTAAGTATATTAAGTAGCTATAAAGTATTTTTCTGAATTGACAAGGGTGATCAAAATTTTCATTTCAGGTGAAGGCAACAGATGCAGACCCAGGAGAGTTTGGGCTCATAACTTATTCCTTTGTGAATGATGTTGGTAAGGACAAGTTTAGCATCGATGCAAATGGTCAGATCTACACCACAGAAAAACTTGATCGTGAGGATCCAGCTAACAAAGACATTGTTCTCACAGTGGCGGCCCAAGATTTAGGTGGACAAGTCTCTTACTGTACAGTACAAGTTACTCTATTGGACGATAATGATAATGCACCTTGTTTCCGTGCCACAGAGTATCGAGCTTCAGTGAAATCTGATGTGGCTCAAGGTTTTTTGGTGACACAGATTCAGGCCCATGATCCTGATCATGGCATTAATGCTAAAGTGACATATTCACTTTACAGTGAGGCAAATGTACCAGTGGTAGACATTTTGGAGATAGACCCGGACAATGGATGGATGGTGACTAAAGGCAGTTTCAGCCATTTCAGAAATTCTGTATTATCTTTCTTTGTGAAGGCTGTTGATGGAGGAAATCCAGTCAGACACTCTCTAGTATCTGTCTATATCCACGTTCTTTCTCCAGAGACTTTTATTCCATCCTTTAGCCAATATCATTATTTATTCAATACACCAGAGAACACTCTTATTGGTTCAGTCATAGGAACAGTTCACCTCAACGCTCCTCTTGAATTTACATCACTCTCTACTACTTTTGCCCTGGTTAATGGAGAGGCTGGTGAAAACAACCACGATGGTGTGTTTGTGGTGGAAAAGCATACTGGAGTGATCAAACTTGATAAGCCTTTGGACTACGAGGTGATCAAAGGATACTACTTCAAAGTCACTGCCACGGCACAACAGGCTAAGCTTGATTCGGTGAGTTGTGTTGAAGTTGAAGTCAAGGTATTGGATTTGAATGACAACAAACCAGCTTTTGAGGCCAACTCATATGATACCACCATTATGGAAGGAATGCCAGTTGGAACCAGAATCATTCAAGTTCAAGCAAGAGACCCAGATTCTGGGGCAAATGGCCAGGTAACATATAAACTTGGTTCATTAATCCAGTTAAAAGAGGATTCAGACACACTGGTCAGCACTTTTAGCATTGACAGCAATACTGGTTGGATCACTACACGCAAAGACCTGGATCATGAAACTAGCCCCTCGTACACTTTTACAGTGGTGGCCTCAGACCTTGGGGAGACCCTGACTCTTTCCAGTACAACCACTGTCACAGTTTCATTGTCAGACATCAATGACAACCCTCCCAGGTTCATGGAGAACCACATCTTTGGTTCTGTTCAGGAGAGTGACCGCCCAGGAGAGGTTGTGGCTGTGCTGATAACTAGAGATGATGATAGCTCTGCCTTCAACCGTCAAGTCAGCTATCACATCACTGGTAAGTCCCAAGGCAAATATTTTTTACTGCATTGTTAAGGAATAACAGATAGAAAACAGAAAAAAACTTAAATACATCTATTAATTAAATCAACAATTGACGTTAGGTAATTCAATTCAGAGCACTTTGTTTTTATAGCGCCAAATCACAACAGCAGTTGTCACTAAGTATTTTACACTGTCAGGTGTAAATAACATACAGAGAAACCTGCAACAATCAAGCGATCTCTCCAGCCTCTTTTTGAGCAAAAACTTAAGTAAAATGTATTTATATAGCACTTTTTACCGGAAAAATAACAAAGTGTTTCACAGTAAAATAAATAAATAAATAATAAGAATGTAAAATAAATAAATAAACTAAATTTAAAACAAAATGCAAAACAACAACAATGAAGAGAAGCAAAAACTGGAGTGATATTGATTTTCATTTCACTGATCAAAAGATAGTAGACTCTTACTGTGGGATTCAGGAAACAAATACCATCTTTCAATGTTTCTTGAAGTCAGCCTGGGATATTCTTTGTATGAATAAGGTCCAAATCTGCAGATCAAATATAAAATATTCATAAATGACTATAGAGTATGGATAATGATTGCTCTCCAAGTGCATGTCTGATTAAACATAGTGATTTGGCTGATCAACGGGCAGTGAGCTACAGGAAAAAAACAACATACTATAATTAGATACATTTAAAATTCATTAAATCGCCTTAACCATAAATCTTTATAGAATATGCAATTGAGTTATTATTACTTTCCGTAATTTTTGCCAATTTTGATAAATGAAATAGAATTTCCTTTATATAGCGCCAAATCACAAGAACTGTTCCCTAAAGATCCTTTATATTGTAAGGTAAAGAACCCTAAAATAATACAGTGAAAACCCCAACAACGACCCATAATACCCTAAGGCAGAGCCTTTGGCTTATGGGCCCTTCTTCTGTGTAAGACGCACCAGTTTTGATTCAGGAAATGGACACCTTGTCGACTTTAAAGACTAGGTTTAAAAATTGGTGTGATTGTAGCCCAGGAGGATGGAGCAAGTCATTTACTAATTGGAAGTTAGGTGGTTCGATTCCTGGATGCTTCAGTGTGCATACCAAATATCCTTGAGCCAGATACTAACCCCTGTAATGCATGCACTGGAGTGTGAATGTGTGTAAATGTTAGAAAACACTATTTTCTGACATTTAGAAAATAGTTTGTATAAAGCCTTTTTGAGTGCTGAGGTAGAGCAGAAAATCGTTATATAAAAACCAGTCCATTACCAAAACTTCCCTTTTGCTAAACAATGTAGTTTGAACTGGATCTGGTGACACCGAATCTTTCCTTTGTTACACTGCAATAGGCTTAGGCTTCCCATGAGTCACTATGTCATGATGCAGTATTTCTTCCTCAATCACCTTATTCACTCTGTGATTGTATGTAATTTCTGCATCATCATGTAATTTCAAATGCAACATTCAACTTCAAAACTTTAGAGTCAGCTCCTTAACTGCTTGTATCTGTTCATTGTCTAGTTCAGTCTGTTGTCGTTGTGGACTTGTACTCTTATGTACACCACACTGACATTCTGTCTCAGGATAGTCATGGACCATCTAGTTGTACTCTTTCGGAGGTTGGTCTTTCTCTGGTCTTATACCCATTCAAAAGCAGATGACATATCTCTGACCATTCCACAAAATCTTCTACTAATACTCTCCTCCTGCATATCACACATATTTTCAACCTACTGCATAATCATCTGAATATTTCTGTAGAGGAGGTCCTGGAGGTGTACTGAAAGTCTGAAGTGTAATAAGTGAACAGGAATTGAAACAGTGCAGCCCTTTCTGGAGCTCCAGTACTATAAATCACAATGTCAGATAGAGCACTGCCAAATCTTACATACTTTATACTGGATGTGATTACTGACATTTCCTGTGTTTTCTCCCTGAGTGACACTGGTTAGATTGTGTTGAAAAGCTTTTGTAACCCACATCAGCTACACTGTCACATCCAACCATTACAATAAAATATATATGGAAGCTTCATAAGGGCAACTGTGGGTCATGTGATAGAGAGGGTTATCTACCAATGGTGGAATCCACACACTCAAGTAACCTCGGGCAAGATACTGAGCCCATTGCCTCTACTTGGCATATGAGCACAAGAAAGTATGCGTTTAGGTGTAGATGATAAATGTGCTGTGTGAATGTAGGTGTGACTGGCTGAGTAAGGTCTGCAGTAGAAAATGGTTTAAATTTTCAACTGAATAGAATGGTGCTATAGAAGTATCAGGGTTTTTTTGTTTAACATAATCTGCCTTTGGATCCTCTTCCACACGCTCCATTCCTTACACAACTTTAAAAACAAGTGGCCTCTAACTTTACTTGATATTCTCTGCATCAAACTGTAAAAGTCAGAAATAAACCCACAAACAACAGCTGATAGCATTGTCATTCTCTCTGTTGTCAGCCTTTAATACTAGTTCTTATAGTTGTTTGTTTCCCAGAAACTTTATATGCAAGTGTCTAATAATGATGCTTTCATTTTTTGGGGGGGTATTTAGCCTAACCCTCAGCCCCTGGCTGTATGTGATACACCAGCAGATTAAAAAACCAAAAAACCCCCAAAAAAACCAAATGGATATGATTGAATTCTGACTGTTCCAGAGAAGTCTTGGGAAGCTGCTCAAGTTTTGAAGATCTGCACCTACGCAGTTTGAAATTACGGACATAAGTAATTAACCTGTTTGGAAATCAGTCTATGGCTGTGGTTGGCTACTATTGGCCACTATCTGCGCAGAGCCTTCTCCAATTTGACTTTTATCTGAACTGCATTTTAATGAAATAAATGATTTTAATTGGGACTGACTTTCTTCTTCGTCTGATGGCACACTGTTTATCTTTAAACTTTAAACAAAATATTCAAAGCCTTAATCCCAAATCACCAGATAAATCATCTCTTATTAACACTTTTTTAAACTAGTATGCCAAATAGGTTTGTGGGTGAGAAACGCTAATTTAACTGGGGTCGTATTACAATTCCAATTTAGCATGGAGATATTTCCATTGGCCATTCTCCTACATAAGAGCAACCAGACGTGGGCTACTGCGAGAAAGTCTGACTAATGACGATTGGCTATGTTTTCGTAAGTTTCGTAATTGGTTCAATGCCTCCATTAGGAGGGCAAATGCTCATACCATCAAGATGGTTTCTGAACAGTCACAGCTAGCTTTTGATTGTATACAGTCACAGCTGTGTCAGCTCTGACTGGTTTTAAATACAAATAAAACCAAGGTCATGTTGTTCTGAAATAGAAAGTGCATGTCTGCAGTACTTCACTCTCTTGTACCCGGCATTTCTATTGAACCTTGGGTACACTTGGGTTTTAAGGGGTATTTATTATTTTCTTCTTTTTTTTGGGTTGTATAGAAGCCCCAAACGCAATTTCATTGTTCTTGACAATGACAATAAATAAATACTACTACTAAAAAACCTGTGACCTCATACAAATACTTGGGTGTTTGTGATTGGTGATAATCTTTCCTGTAAGCTACATATTGCTCATCTGTTAAATAAACTTTTTTCTTTTTTCCAAAATCATTGCTAATTTGTGTTTCACTTTCACTCCAAGGAAAAGGCATCTTGCTACCACCTTTTTACCCCTCCTAACTAGCTCTGCTCATTCTCTCCATCTTTTGGACTCTATCTGGTTGACTGGTCCTTATTGGCCTTGCTATTTGTGGTTTACTGCCCTCCTATTACATGTTACTTAAAGATTTTAGTCATAGTTTGTGGTCCCAAGACTTAATTACATTGAGCGTTGCATCAGTTCGTACAGAACTCGGAAAGAAGACATTCTTCTTTTCTGCCCCGTTTCCATGGATTACATTACAGAAGGACTTACAGCTCTCTCAGTAGATTTCACTTGCAGAGTTTAAAAGATGTACAAATGCCTTTGTGAAATCATAATTGTGAATTTGTTCTTGTTTTTCCAGCAACTGTTTAAACATGAGATAATTTTTATTTTTGTCATTTTATTCCTATTTTATTGTTTTATTGTTATTTTATTTTGTTTGTCTCTCTTGTAAATGAGACATTGAGTCTCAATGAAGGTTAAATAAATTAATGACCACCTCTGGTGGAGTTGGGCTCCCTCCTCCTGCTGGCATGGTATCGCCGAGATGTGTGGTCCCAAATCTTCCCCACCAGAGCAAGAGGCAGAGATGGGCCATCGCTGCTGATGGCCCATCTCTGCCTCTTGCTCTGGTGGGGCATTTTTGCAGTTTCCCACCCTAATTTCTTTTTTTCTTTTTTTTCGTCTGTCCCATTTGGTTCTTTAGCTGTCAGAATTGTTGTCTGAAGACCAACAAGGATACCCAATGGATTTACTTTGCCAAATGGATCATCACGACCTTGCCGTATTGGTCCATTTGATCGACCTTTGTTGTTATTATTTATTTTATTTTATTTTCAG